ACTCTCCACCAGCTCCTGGCTGGGCGGGGGCAGCTGACAACTCCCCCTGCTCCCAGGGACCTGTGTGTGGGGGTGGGAGGGTGGGGCGCTGTCTGTGGAGCTGGGTTGAAGTGGGGAGAGGTGGGGACTGGCAAGAGGAGACAGGGTCTCCCTGGCGGGCGGCCGCTCTGCCCCTGGGCGTGGCGGGAAAGGGGTCTGGGCTCCCCTCGGGGGAGAGACCGTGCCACCCCCAGCCTCTCTATGGGCGGGGCAGGAGGGTGGAGCAGCAGGATACTTGGGCGCCATGGCCAGACATTGCCCTTCGCCTCCATGGCAACGAGCTGTCGCGGCACGCATGCCACAGGCTAATGGAGCTGCTCGTGGACACGCAGCGAAGGGCACCGGCGGAGGCAGCTCCAGCAGGTAAGGGCAGCAGCGGCAGATATAGGGCAGAGCGAGCAGGGCTGGCACGGGGCCTATTGAAGCGCGGGGCTCGGAGCAGCCGCCCCGCTCGCCCTGCCCTATATCCGCCGCTGCTGTACACTTCCAAGTCATACTAGGTCTACTTCTCTTTCTTGTTGGGTTTCCTGGCTTCCAACGGACTGCCGTAATCGGTAGTTGGTTATGATCCGTTTGTAATACACCCTAGTCACTGATGTCCTGTCTTACAAATTATTTGCGATAGAGACCTTGCTTTAGCCATTTTTCTGACCTCGTCGTTTGTCTTTTCCTTTCCTCATCGCTTCCTCCTAAGATTCTCCACAAGCATTTAGGATGAAACACATCTAACGTCTGAGCATCTGTTTTCTTAAGTTGCCAGCCAGGTTTCACTGCTATGGCTGGTGTTTAAATAACCCCAGGACCCTGGAAGAAGGACGCACTTAACGAACTGAGTTTTCCTGAGCGATCCCACAGCAAAAAGTCTGCAGGCATGGAACAGCACAGTGCTGCCCAGGTTGCGTGCCATTGCCACCACGCTCTGAACGCGGCTACCTCTGCTGCAGATATGCCAAGCCCCGCCTCTCATGGACGAGGGGAGTGTTGCCACCTAGTGGTTCACTTCGCATGGAGCAGCGGCGTCACAGAGCAGCAGTAAACAATTTGTTCAACTGGTTAACTACCAGCTGCAGGTGGCAGGGGCTGCTCTGGTTCAGCTCTGCTTCGGGGGCTGCTCTGGCCTGGCCCCACCGTGGGTGGCGGGGGGTTGCTTCAGCCCCACCGCCCACCCCAACCTAGGTCCTGCTGGCTCACTTGCTGTGGAGGGTGGGACCCTCTGGTTAACCTATTAGCCAGTAAGCAAACTGGTAAGCAAATGCGTTACCAGCAAACTGGTTAATCTTTAACATCCCTACTTGTGAGCCCCCGCAACTCCCTTTTGGGTCAGGGCCCCCAATTTGAAAAGCTCTGGTGTTCCCCATGACATCAGTTTAGTAGAGTGTAAAAGCACACAAAAGACCAGAGTTCATGGGGAGAAACCAGATGTCATAATCCGTGATGCCTTTTTCATGGCAGCGAATTTTGTAGGGCCCTACAAATAAGCAAACCCACTGGGCTCCCCCATTCACACAGAATGCCAGCACAGCAAGACGGAATTGAGCCTTCATTTGCTATCTTACCTGAAACACCACCTCTCATCTTTCTCATCATCAAGGCTCACGGACAAGAAGCAGCCAGATCTCGGCTTCCTTCTTGGGCACCACAGCCAGGACTTCTCTATTTCCAGAATGGCAATGGCTCTCTGAGGATACAAGTCCATGTTAGAGAAGGCCTGGCACAGCCACAGCCCAGCTGCTGCTTGCTGATCTACCCTAAGTTCTGGTGAAGTCTTCCCTGCCCACCAAGTACCATAACTTGGAAAGGCACTTTTGTAACCCGACCACAATTGTTCCTTCCCTGTGAGAGGTCACCGTGTCAGCCTGTAACTTTAAAAACAACAAGTAGCCCTGTAGCACCTTAGGGAATTACAAAAAATATATACAGGCAGTCCCCGGGTTACGTACAAGATAGGGACTGTAGGTTTGTTCTTAAGTTGAATCTGTATGTAAGTCGGAACTGGCATCCAGATTCAGCCGCTGCTGAAACTGATCAGTTTCAACAGCGGCTGA